TCTCCTCAGGATCTATCTAAACCACACAACAACAAACAATGAAGAAGAAGAATGGTACAAAAAAACTTACAAGAATCGTGTGACAACGGCGTTGATGTAACCATCCCCAGAGAAATATAACTCCACCAATCAACTGGCACGAACCAAGCTTCATCAAAGGGCTTATAGACAACAATAAATCAAACTCAGGAGCTGAGGTATGGCCTTTTCCTTTAGCAATGAATTCAGCCACTTGGTTTCCGGCGAATCTTGCTACCTCTGGTGCAATACTGGCGCAGAGTGATAGAGGCGCGACTGTATAGAAACTAAAAACCTAACTTAAAGCCAAGCAAAAGCCATATAGATATTTTAACAAGTTTGTAGAGAAACTTACAACCATCCTGCGAGATAGCCAAGAATGTGAAGCCGAGCAGAAGTGCTATACTTGAACACATAGATTGACTCAATCAGGCGTCTCAAGACTTGGATTTCCATAAGAAGTAGTAGAAACACTGCTCTCCACACTTTGAACCGGTGCTCTACAGGAGTCAAATGCGATTTGTGAAAGGAGAAACCATGGGGACCTCCGGTTAAGCGGCTCGCCATGTCGGAAAACTGGAACTCCTCGGAGGTTAAAGGCGCCGTTTTTAAAGCGTACATCCATGTGGTGGCGAGCAGAAGAGTCGTCCACGCCACTCCGATAACGTAGAAGTGAGCAAAGAACTTCTGAGGGACAGTCCACTTCTGCATCAATAAAGGGTCGAGAGATTTACAAAACCATAAACTTTCAATTACTACAGCATATTTACTAACCGAAACGGAACCGTTATGAAACTAAAACCTGAGATTCAAACTAAAAGTAGCATGCTTTTGCACTAGGAGACTAACATTTACAATCATCTTTACAACAAAGGGATGATTAAATCGGATCTAAGGGTCGAGAAATTTTACGAACTTCAGATCCTTTCTCACAATCAGCAACCCAAAAAGAACAATTCTGAAACTGAAAGCTTCAAACTTAAAGCGGGCATGCTTCTTCTGGCTTGGAGCCATAACTTTTCAATCGGAGTTACAGTAAAAGATGATTATAATTCTGATTCAATGATCGAGAGATTCGAAATACTTGAAATCACTCGATAACATCAACGATTTTTCAATCCCTTTTTCACATGAAACCACAATTTCACAGATTTACCAGTAGAACAAAAAAGATGCAAAACGTTTAACGAATTAGAGAGTGAAGAAGGCGAGAATCAGAACCTGAGAAGACGACGACTGGAGAATCTTGCCTCTCCTGGCGAAACCCAGAATGAGTTCATGAAACGATCTCATCTTGGAACTGGGTATCGAAGCGATCACCATAGGAAGTATAGCAGCGATCCAAGCGGATCTAACCAACCAAACAATCAAAAACCCTAACAATTCCATACTCGTTTCTTCTTCTCTCGCCAGATAGTCAATGGTTTTTCGAATTCGTAAGCCCTAGAAATCACAATTGGGGCCTATAAAATCAAAGTAATTTCCAAATAAGAGATTGCTGGAAACAGACAGCAATATGCACATGGAGAAACTTAAAATCGATTGAGAAGCAATGAAAATTTTTCTTCGAAATCATTTCGTGCGAGGGAAAACCAGTTATCAAGTCACTTGAATCATGTGACATCGCTTCGATCACAATCCACGTGGGAATCGCTTCTGAGACACGTGTGTGCTCTCTCGAATTAAGTCAATAAATCTCACTAAATACAAGAAACACATGATTGCCATCAATTAGTTGAGTTTAGTAATTTTATTTAATCAGTAATTAGTTAAATAACCAAAGATTATAGAGGCCATGATCCAGTGTTTTGCACCCTACACGTTCGACAGTTGACTCATACACGTTTCAGTCAACATTACAAGTGACACGTGCGATAAAAATATCCCTATCAAACGACGTCGTGCAAGAGATTTCTGTTCTGTTCTGTTCTTCTGTTCTCGGACACATAAAAATGATAAATCTCAAGAAAGCTCTGAGAAATGGCTAATGTAAGATATCAAAATCATTCAAGATTCAAACAAAACGTGAAATATGGATAAAAACGCAAGCAAAATAGACTTTGGAACGTGAGTCTCTCTCTCTCTCTCGCTAACTATCGAACCCAACCTGCTTCGATATTGTCCAAGCTACCAACGAGACCATCGTCAATGAAGTCTCCTCCTCCTCGTTTCACCTTAACTTCCTCAGGCTTCACCGGATAATCACCAGTGAAGCACGCGTAGCAGAAGCTCTTAGCGTCTTCCCCTAAGTGTTTCTTCAAGGTCTCGAACGAAAGAAACGCCAGGGAATCGCTCCCGATGAAATCATTAATCTCCTCAACACTCAACCTGTTCGATATAAGCTCCTCCGAGCTAGGCGTGTCCACACCGTAGTAACAAGAAGCCACCATAGGAGGACTCGCGATCCTCATGTGAACCTCTTTCGCACCCGCTTCTCTCAGCAACCGCACGATCTTCGACGAGGTGGTGCCTCTAACGATCGAATCATCAACCACAACGACTCTCTTCCCTTCTAATACCCCACGAACAGGGGACAGCTTCAGCTTCACTCCGAAATCTCTGATCTTCTGCGATGGCTCGATGAACGTCCTCCCTACGTAATGAGACCTGATCAGCCCCTGCTGAAACGCGACGCCGGACTTAGCAGCGTACCCGAGAGCCGCCACGACGCCGGAGTCCGGTACAGCGATCACGACGTCGCACTCAACGGGAGACTCTTCCGCAAGAATCTCCCCAAATTTGTGTCTAGACTCGTACACGGACCGGCCAAAGACGATCGAGTTCGGTAACGAGAAGTAAATGTGTTCGAAGATGCACTGTTTGGTCTCATGATGAGACATCAAACACTGAGACTTGACACCGTCTTTGTCCACAACCAAGACCTCGCCAGGATAAACCTCTCTCTCGTAAGTAGCTTCAATCAAATCAAGAGCACAGGTCTCGGAAGCGAAAACAACAGCTCCGTTGCTTCTCCTACCCATAACCAAAGGCCTAAACCCAAACGGGTCACGAACAGCGACGAGCTTATCCTCAGTAACAAACACCATAGAGTAAGCACCTTGAAGCTTCTCACAAGCATCGATGATCCTCATGAAAAAGGGTCTAGCTTTAGATATCGCAATCAAATGAAGCACGACCTCAGTATCAGACGTGGTATTGAAAATCGAGCCGTTCTCTTCAAGCATAGCTCTCAACTGCTTGTAATTAACCAGATTACCGTTGTGTGCGACGCCGATCGAACCGAATCGATAACCGGCGACGAAAGGCTGGACGTTCTTGAGCATGGAGGATCCGGCGGTTGAGTAACGGACATGGCCGATGGCGGATTCGCCGGGTAATTGGTCGAGTTTCGACTCGTTGAAAACCTCGGAGACCAAACCAACACCTGTAATGGTCTGAAGGACTTTCTCGTCGCTTACGGTTACAATACCTGCGCCTTCTTGGCCACGGTGTTGAAGCGCGTGGAGAGCTAAGTAACAGAGACGGGAAGCTTCCGGATCGCCGTAGATTCCGACGACGCCGCACTCTTCCCGAGGCTTCTCGTCGTCTTCGTAATCGGGAGAATGGTGTTCGGTTGCTGAGAGGGAGGAGTCAGAGGAGAAATAGCTGGAGACTCCATGGACGAGGAAAGGAGAAGGAGAAGAGGATGAGAGAGAGAGACGGGAAGGTTTAAGGAAGGGTTTTGGGAGGAAAGGGAGAGGTTTATTGATGGTACAAGGGTTGTTTAGTTTAGGGATTAGAGAGAGGGAAGAGGAGAAGCTGGTTTTGGCCGCCATGGGGTGATTAGAAACGAAGCAGAGACAAAAATGCGAGTTCGTAGGTTTTCGATTTTGTTGTTTGGTCTTATTTGGGGCTAAACTGATTTTGTGATTGTGAAAGGGGAAAATATTAAGCCGAGTGGCGAAAGGGTTTTGACTGTGTTTCGCCACCTGCAGAATCTTTTCTTTTCCTTTAGAGGTTTATTGGGTTTTTTATAAAAAGCATATTTTTTTGTTCAAAAATATAAAAAGCATATATTGAATTTTTCTAGATATATTTTGATAAAAATTAATAAATTAAAAAGCACAATTCTCTATAGTCGATTTACAATTAAATATTTTTTTTAGCATTTACCTTCATTTTTAGATGAAATACTCGATGTTTTTAGGTTTTAAAAATAAACTAATTTTAGAGATTAATCTGGATCGTCGATTTGGTGGAAGAAAACACATGCCGTGGTATATTGTAGTCCGTCGATTAAAAAACAAGGATAAGCGATAATAGTAACCGTTCGATCGTCAATCTGCTTCACCATCGTTGCCTATAAATTAATATCAAGAGCGGCAAGTTAATTCTCACTAATTACTTTTTCGAGATCGGAGCTGAAAATTTGAATTCAGAGAAGCGAGAGAGGTTTCGGAGGAAGACAGAGAGAAGAAGGTACGAGTTTTCGAGATTTCTTTGTTTTTCCTCTTGGAATGTTTATTCGTTTGATTATTGTGTAATCGGTGGAATGAAATTTAGTGCGGATTAGTTTCTCTTCTTTTCGCCGATTCGTCTTCTGGATTTAGGGTTTTTTTTTTAGGTTAGAGAGGAATCGCTTCGTTAGATTTAAGAATCGGATTGTTTTCTTTGGCTAGGATCAGCTGCTTGTTCTGAAATTGTAAATACTGTTCACACCGTTGTTGATGGATTCGTCGGTGTTTGTTTATTAGGGTTTCACCACTTTCCCTATTTCGATGAGGCCATTTTCTTTTGGATTTATTTTGTAATCTTTGTTGATTTCACGAATTGATTCTAGTAATTGAATGCTCAAGGTCTAAATCTTGTGTTTTCTTTTGTAATGATCAGATGGCTCGTACCAAGCAAACAGCTCGTAAGTCTACAGGAGGAAAGGCCCCAAGGAAACAGCTTGCTACAAAGGTAAAGCTCTCTCACTCGCATTTGATCTGAGTACTGTAGTTTTTTAAATTTGGGACATTGTTTGGTTACAAACGCAAGAATTCAATTTTTTTCAGGCTGCTCGTAAGTCTGCCCCAACCACTGGTGGAGTCAAGAAGCCCCATCGTTACCGCCCAGGAACTGTTGCACTTCGGTATGTGTCATCTGTTTTCCCTCAAATCGCAATCTTGTGTCTATTGCGATGTGTTTGATTGACAAACTCTGTTTCTTGTTTGACAAACTCTGTTTCCTGTTCTTGATAGACAGTGTTTGTGTTGTGTTTGATTTGATAAACTCTGTTTGATTGTGTCCTGTGTCTATTGGGTTGTGTTTGATTGACAAGCTCTTTTGTTTATTGTTCTTGATGGACAGTGAAATCCGCAAGTACCAGAAGAGTACTGAGTTGCTGATCAGGAAGCTCCCATTCCAGAGGCTTGTTCGTGAGATTGCTCAAGATTTCAAGGTATTTGTGTGATGGATATCAAACAAATTCATGTTCATATCATTGGAACTCTATGTACTTAACCGGACCATGTTCATCATTATATAACTCTTGTGCTTAATTAATCTCTGTGATTGCAGACTGATCTGCGTTTTCAGAGCCACGCGGTTCTTGCGCTCCAGGAAGCTGCAGAAGCATATCTCGTGGGTCTCTTTGAGGACACTAACCTCTGCGCCATTCATGCCAAGCGTGTCACCATTATGCCCAAAGACATTCAACTCGCACGCAGGATCAGAGGAGAGCGTGCTTAAGCCGTTTGATATGTCAATTTGGTGTGTTCTAAATAGATAGATGGAAAGCAGTGATGGTTTGGTTGTAGGAGACTTGAAAAAACAGTGATGGTTTGGTTTTCCTCATTTTCTTTTGTCTTGTCGGATTATGATTTGCTACGATTTTAGATAAACACAATTTAAAATGCAGACTCGTATTGTCAAATCAGTCGATGAAGTGTGCTGCTATAGATGAATGCATAATGACCAAAACCACTTTTGATTGGTTTGTTTTCTTGTCTTCTTTGTTTAGCTACAATTTGAGTAAACACAACTTAAAATGCAAACTCGTATTGTTGATCATACGTGATAAGTTTGACAGATTATAAAATCATGAGAGGATAATGTTTATGGAAGCTCTTCCTCTCAACATGATTTTATAATCTGTCAAACTTGGATCAACAGATGGTGGAACAAGTATTCGAAGAGCCAAGGCATATGCTCTGAAAACGAGTTATGTGAATATATAATACTATTTTTTTTTTATATAAAAAGGGCTTATAATACTATTTTTTTACTCTCAGAATTTTGACTGATTGCGACATAAATGCGGCTATAAACATGATTAAGGGTCGCAAATTTTGGATAAAGCTTTAATGTTTTTCTTTGCAAAAGTTTTGGACACAACCACTATCCTTACATCACCATGACTCATTTTCTTTTGCTTTATGTTATAATAATATATCATATATAGTATAGTTTGCTTTTCATTGATATATTGTAGTAGCTTAGGTAACATAAAGGAAATATACCTTTGCAAAATAAGTAGATTTAATAACAATTAACTAGTAAACCTCTGTCAAAAGCAATTAAAATAAATAATGGAGTAATTAATTAGCTAATTAACCTTTTTCAAAAACAAAAATAAATAAACAACATGCAGAAAGACAAGACAAATATAATGAATTAAGAACAGCAACTACACGGACAACAGAACAAACCCGTGAGTTGGCAAAATAATCGAAACGGTAAAATCCCAAATGAAAGTTATTATTGTGCTTAGACAATTCAAATGTTTTAAGAACTCAATTTTTTAGGTATTCATAGTAAAAGACTTCGGTATCAACGTTCCGTAAGTGATAGAACTATGTGACCAACCCATGTTTGAAGTATGCAATTGAAGAATATGTATCTACCAAAAGGTTTGGTTATTAGCTTTTGGTTTCACATGATCTTGGTTCTACTAAAGTGTTACGTATAAAGAGAGACGGATGATTGTTAGTCAATTAGTATTTCCACTATTTTGTGATCTATTTTGACCATTGTCTTAGGAGATGTATGAATCTAAGTTCAAATTTTCAGTTGTTTAACTTAGACATGTTGTGTGTATTTAATTTAAAAGAAAAAAATTACTCTTATTTTCTCTGTTTTTTGTTTTGTTTTGTTTTGTTTGGTAAAAACTATAATTAATCTAAGTTTAAAGAACGCTTAAAAACTAGAGATCTATTTGCTAATAAAATAAATTTGGACACTAATCTGAAATGTCCCTCCGTAGACCCGAGAAATCCGATATATCCCTGTTATAATATTTATTTATTTTTTTGATTTTTATTTTAAACGAAAATGCGTGAAATGACGATGGAGGGTATTTGAAATCCTGTAAACTACGGACACTAACCAAATAATATCTATTGGATTTTGGCCCAACATAAATCGAAATCGGCCCAAACCTAAATCTAAATCTAGCCCAAACCCAAACCAAAAACAACTTCCACTTCCCTGATTTTTCGATCAAACTGCCTCCTTTCCAACTTTTCATCTTCTCTGATTCAGAAACCACCAACATTTTCATCTTCTCTGAGAACTGATAAAAATCCGATCCGATCAAATCCGAAAAACCACCGTCCGTCGACTCCAAATTATCGATTATGGCGCCGCGGAGAGGAGTTAGGTTGAGAACGCCTTCACCGGAGGAAATTTCATCGCCGCCACCGTCGAGTTCAAATCCGCCGGCGAAGAAAAAAAAAGCGGCGGAGAAGCGTCAGGTGGCACCGCAGAAGAAGAAGTCCCTGAAGAAATCCAAATCAAAGAACGGAACTTCAACTGCTCCGCCTCCACCTACGCCTCCGCCTCCGCCTGTGACTGAAAGAGAAGAAGAACCGGCAAAGAAGAAAAGAAAGAGGGAGAAGGGTCCGGAGGCACCGCGAGGAAAGGAGAAGAAGTCGTGGAAGAAATCGGACAAATCAAAGTCCGCTCCGCCTCCACCTCTGGCAGCTCCGGTCACTGAACAAGCAGAAGAAAGTCAGCCTCTGGCGACTGAACAAGAAGAAGAAGCCTTTGTGGCTCCGACGGTGCAACCGGCAACCGGCCCCCCTCCGATTTCAGAACCGGAAATCGGGTCATCGTCGCAACCACCACCACTGGTAAACCTTAAATCGTGTTCTTCAATGAGTAGTATAGTTGGGCCCAACTAGTCCGACTAGTGTGAGTAGTTCAACTAGTTCAACTAGAACGGTTAACTAGTCCGAATAGAATAACTAGATTGTAGTCATACTAATCGTACTAGTCGTACTAGTAATCATAATAGTTGGCCTAGTTTGTCAGTAGTTGGCCTAGTATTCGTACTAGTCGTACTAGTTTGACAGTAGTTGGCCTAGTAATCGTACTAGTCGTACTAGTTTGACAGTAGTTGGCCTAGTAATCGTACTAGTCGTACTAGTTTGACAGTACTAGTCGTACTAGTTTGACAGCAGTATACTAAATCGGTTTCCTTATTTTTGCAGCATGATGATGATGATGTAGAAGAACCAATGCGGCCTCTCGGATATTTCTTCCATCCCACCGAATATCGAAAGGGATGTAAGCTAAGTACCAAATGCTTGCAACACAAATTTAAGGAGGATGTATTTCCAATGTTGGAAGAGGATGAGAAGAGTTGGTTTCTGAACCATCCGCAGTTCAAGCACCTGTTTCACATGAAGACTTATACAACGAGAAAGGTGATGGGGCTGTGGATGTTGCTTCTACGCATGGTTCAAACGGAGAAGGGTAGACAGGCTTGGTTTGTGGTTAATGGAGTGTCCATTAGATACTCCATCAGAGAGCATGCTCTCCTCTCGGGACTGTACTGCCACGAGTACCCAGCCGATTACCCGAAGTTAGGTGGCATGAGGTTTGCTAACAACCATTTTAGAGACGAAAAAATTACAGCTGAAGTTGTACTAAAAGCACTTCAGGGGATGAGGTATAATAACACTGGGAATTGGCTAAAGATGGCTGTCTTGTACTTCTTGGCGTGGTGATAAGAGGGAGATCGAAGCATGGAGTAGCCATAGAGTCTTTCGTTCTGAGGATGGTTGATAATCTCGAGCTGTGTAAGACATTCCCGCGGGGACGGTTTACTTTCGAGGACAACATCAAAGAGATTTTTCATATGGGGAACCATTTCAAAGGATCGATCCCAGAGAAAGCGAGTTGGACGTTTCCTGGGTTCCTCAACCCTTTGGAAGTAAGTCGTATTTCCTACTGTTTTAATTTGTCCGAATAGTACAACTCGTACGACTGTTTTAATTAAATATGCAGATTTTTCGTATTAATAGTATGACTACGTCAACTAGTGCGAATAGTACAACTAGTCTAACTGGTCTAATTATATGTGCAGATTTTGGCGTTTGAATGTATTCCAACCCTGAAGACACAATTTCGGGTGAAAGCAACAAATGCAGAAGATGATTGTCCAAGAATGTACAAATGGGAGTTCACGCAGACTGGCACAACTGGATATTCGCTGGGTTCAATAAATGAGCATCTTGGAGATACAAAGGTATTTTACTTTTTGTTATTGGGATCAATTGTAATCGTACTAGTCGTACTAGTTTGACAGTAGTTGGCCTAGTTTGACAGTCGTTGGCCTAGTATCCGTACTAGTCATACTAGTTTGATAGTAGTTGGCCTAGTTTGACAGTAGTTGGCCTAGTACTCGTACTAGTTTGACAGTAGTTGGCCTAGTTTGACAGTAGTTGGTCTAGTATTCGTACTAGTCGTACTAGTTTGACAGTAGTTGGCCTAGTTTGACAGTAGTTGTCCTAGTATTCGTATTAGTCGTACTAGTTTGACAGTAGTTGGTCTAATATTCGTACTAGTCGTACTAGTTTGACAGTAGTTTGACAGTAGTTGGTCTAATATTCGTACTAGTCGTACTAATTAATTAATCGGTTTAATTTTTTTCCGTTATACTTCAGGACATTACTAGTATTTTGACTGCTGAGGGTGAGGAAGTAGATCTCATAGAGAGGGCCATGGAAGAGACACAGTGGCAGAACTTTGAACTGAAGGATGATTCAGATGTAGTTGACCCTATTGTTGATGGGTGGAACAAGTTTATAGTCCGCCAACAAGGGAAGATACAGTGGGAGGATGTCTTCATGGCTGATGTTCAATCCCGAGTTGTCGAAAAAGAAAATGTCCAAGAAGAAGATGTCCAAAACGAAGGTGCGGCAATAGGTGAGCCAGCTGAACAAGAACCTGCAATTGTGATTGAGCCAATATCTGAGCAATTGAAAAGGATGATGAAATTAATGGAAGAAGGGTTCAAGAAAATTAATGACAAGATTCAAGGTTTGGATACAAGGTTGGTAGCTGTGGAGAGCTTCGTGGAAGAGCAAAGAAATCCTCCAGATTTTCAGTATGGTGGAAATGATGATTTCGGTAAGAAACAATTTTTGAGAATTTTTTTTGTTTTGAATATTGAAGTTCATTTGACTCTTTTTTTTATGTCACAGAGAAAACGGCTGAAGAGGAGATGATGGAGGCTGCTGCGGCTGTAGAGAGGGAGATGGCGGAGAGAGCCGCGGCTGAAGAGAAGGAGAAGGCGGAGAAGGAGGCTGCGGAGAAGGAGGCTGAGGCGGAGGCTGCTGCGGCTGTAGAGAGGGAGATGGCGGAGAGAGCCGCGGCTGAAGAGAAGGAGAAGGAGAAGGCGGAGAAGGAGGCTGCAGAGAAGGAGGCTGTAGAGAAGGAGGCTGCGGAGAAAGAGGCTAAGGCGG